CTTTTTTTTTTTTTTTTTTTGAGACGGGAGTTCTCAGCTGTTGCCCAGGTGGATTGCAGTTGGCGGGATCTCGGCTCACTGCCAAGCTCCGCCTCCTGGGGTTCACGCATTCTCCTGCCTCAGCCTCCTGAGCTAGCTGGACTACAGGCCGCCACACCCCGCGGCCGGCTAATTTTTTTGTATTTTAGTAGAGACGGGCGGTTTCACTGTGGTCTCGATCTCCTGACCTCGTGATCCGCCCGCCTCGGCCTCCCAAAGTGCTGGGATTACAGGCGTGAGCCACCGCGCCCGGCCCCTTAATTATCCTTTAACTGTCACCTGAGGGTAGACAATGATTTAAGTACAGGGAATGATTAAATGTTAAAACTTAGCATTTTAGAATGTTATCTTGTATTGACGAATTCAGCTTATGCTGGTCTCGCAAACAAATACGAAGACTGACAGATTCCTGTGAGTGCAGGCCTTCACAGTGCCAGGACCACAAGATGTAATGAATTCTACTCCTGACTGGATATAAAAAAAATGCGACGAAATTTTCCTTTGAGATTCAGCCGGGGAGACCTCCTGGAGTTTAGAGGTGCCCAGACTGGTGAGTGAAAGGAGTGTGATCTGGGGTGCGGGGTGGGGGGGGGGCAGTCAGAGGACCTAGATGTCTGACACCAACATCCGCGGGTTCCAGTCTCTGCTCAGTCACTACTGGACCTGAGAAGCTGGGTGCAGAGATGGTGGGTGGCCCACCCACCTCTGAAGGTCACTAGTTTTTGAAGTCAGAATACCGCCCATGCACTGTGGGCCTAAGCAGGTTATGAGGGTCTCCGCAGAGACCTGGAGGCATACTCTAGAAATTGCTGTGACCCTGGAGCAGAAACATGTGGCAGTCCCCAGCAGGGCTCACCTACACTGCTCTCCTCACTTAACACGCCTCAGGAAAGGCAAAATGGCAGCTTTACAAAACGAAGTTTTATTCCATTTTCCCTTCTCCCCTCTTAATTCTCACAGATCTCTGCGGTGAATGCTTTTAACCTGTCAACTGTGATGAAACAAACAGAAAACCAAAGCCCTGGCTTCTTTGAGGTGCAACTAAATGACCGAGAAGGTGTTACCTAAGACCTCTACGGCCATTTGTATCTGGCCCTGTGTAGAGTGGGCTCTGCAAGACCCTGCCTCACTTTCCCACTAAGAGGCCTTGGACTTGCCAGCTCCCAGAGACTATAGAGATCGCCTCTGAGGCCTCCTGTCACGATTTCCTAAGGTGAGGAACTTCATTTGCCCAACGGAGGCCCACGTTCTGCCTGTTTGATCTACTGTCTTCCCAAGGATCTGAACTCGGGGACCAGCGTCTGCCCACGCGTCCGACGAAAACAATGTAAAGGAACTACTGAGTCTGGACAGAAAATCCAGACACACCATGCAGCTTCTAAGAGGACCGAGTGCCCTCACTGGAATAGAGTGAGTCTCCTTCTGTGGACATGGACAGGGAACAGCTCGATTAAGCCCAGATTCACAAAATTCCGCCCACACCCCGTGACCCCGGGAATTTTGGCTTAGGGGCAGGATGTGGGGGTTACCACTGTGCTGGTGGAGATGGCGTGGGCCCGACCGGCAGCCCCAGCGCAGTTCTCCCCACGTTTGCCCGCAGAACCCCGGCGAGGCCGAGGTGGTCATTTCCCTCGCTAGCCGGAGGGCCGCGCCGGGTGAGGCCGGTTTGGGCGCGAAGCACGGGCGTGTGGCCCTCCACTTCCGCAAAGGCCAGGCGCTCTCAGGACCGCGAGCCCTGAGCGTCCGCCTGGTGACCCCTGGCCTCGGGACCGACGCCCCGTCCCTCCTGCCCTGCCTCCCCCCGCCACGCAGGGCCCCGGTCACGCGCAGGAAGAGCCGGACCGTCAAAGCCCCCAAGCCGGCGCCAAGGAAAGCGGCCGCAGCCCGGCCAGTCCGGATAGGCCAACTGGCCGAAGTCGGCAGAGCTCAAGATGGCACCGCAGCAGGGGACCTGACTGGTCAACCGACCCCGTGTTTTGTTGGGAGCCTAACCGGAAGTGCCTTCCCCGCTCTAATGCCGGAGGGGGAGCACGGAGGGCAAGCGGTACAGCTTCTTCCAAGTGCTGATGTGGGTGGCTCTGAAAAGAGCCTTTTGGATACGATGGAACCTCCGGCCGAACGCGCACTTCTTAAGCCCGCTCACCACGGATGCGGCGGGCCAGCTGGATGTCCTTGGGCATGATGGTCACGCGCTTGGCGTGGATGGCGCACAGGTTCGTGTCTTCGAACAGCCCCACCAGGTAGGCCTCGCTGGCCTCCTGCAGCGCCATCACGGCGGAACTCTGGAAGCGCAGGTCCGTCTTAAAGTCCTGCGCGATCTCGCGTACCAGCCGCTGGAAGGGCAGCTTGCGGATCAGCAGCTCCGTGGACTTCTGGTAGCGCCGGATCTCCCGCAGGGCCACGGTGCCGGGCCGGTAGCGGTGCGGCTTCTTCACCCCGCCTGTGGCCGGCGCGCTCTTGCGGGCCGCCTTGGTGGCCAGCTGCTTCCTCGGGGCCTTGCCGCCGGTCGACTTGCGGGCAGTCTGCTTAGTACGGGCCATAGCGAACCAAAACACAAGCTTACCAGCGGAGCGGCGGGGAGAGAAACGAGCTGCTGGCCCCGCGGCAGCCGTCTTTATAAGCACAGTCTTTTCCCGATTGGGCGGAACAAGAATTGAAAATCCCGCGCTGGCTGTCCATTGGCTGTGACGTCACCCGTCCTAAAGTCACCGGTTGGCTTGGGCAGAGTCCTCCCTAATCCCGCCCACCCGCCTCACTTTCTACTTTCCAGTTGGCCAAGTTTTGCAAGCTTGTTTTTCCCCCTTTCCTTCAGGGTGAAAGTCGTTTTCCGTTGCAGTTTTGTCAGATTGTTCCCTGTCCGCCCTTCGCTTCCTTTCTTGTTGCGCCCAGCGGCTCCGGCATGGAACCTCATTCTTCCATTTGCCCCCAGCCTCCGGTTGCTACTTGGCGGATCGTTTTTCGCCTGTCGGGTACCTTTTGGGTGGGAGAGGTGCCCGCCCCCAGATTCCGCCTCCGAGACCCTTACTCTCCGCCGCCAAGGCGCTTTGGGAAACAAAACAGAAACTAAGACTTAAGTCAGCTCCGTGAAGCCAAGACCCAGCTCCGCCACACTGGCGAGCACTACCCGCTCAGGGTCCTCCCCATCGGGGGTGGGGGCAAGGAGCACGTCCCGCTAGTGCTAGGCTAGGTCTAAGTGCCCGGCCATGGCCTGCGGAAACCACTGGGGAAGCGCGCGCTCCGGGCGCAACACTTTTAAGCGCCTTGGGTACTGCCCGCGGCGCTGGTGTTTGTGACTGTGTGGAGTGGACCGTGGCGGCACCCAGGATGTTTGGTGCCTCCACCTGCGCTGGGAAGTCCTAGGAGTGGGGACCCACTCATCGATGACCCAAGGCAGTTACGTGCTCCAGATGCAAGACGGCGCGCCGCCGGCGGCGCGCGGCCGAAACACACACCACACACACACACACACACCCCCGTTCCGTCCGCTGCAGGGTTCGCCGTTTACTACTGAGAAACGCTGGACTGGAGAGAAGCCGGCATTAGCAACTCTTTTATTTGAAAACGTGGGTGGCTCCTGAAAAGAGCCTTTTGAGTTCACAGGTGCCCCTTCGAGACGCGGCCGGCGTGGGCGCCACTTGGGCCGGCGTCCGCCTCACTTGCCCTTTGCCTTGTGGTGACTCTCCGTCTTCTTAGGGAGCAGCACGGGCCTGGATGTTAGGCAGGACGCCGCCCTGGGCGATGGTGGACTTTGGCCCAGCAGTGTGTCAGTTCCTCGTCGTTGCGGATGGCCAGCTGGAGGTGACGAGGGATGATCCGCGTCTTCTTGTTGTCCGAGCCGCGTTGGCCCGCCAGCTCCAGGGATCTCGGCGGTCAGGTACTGCGAGGCCGCCCCATGTAGACCTGGCGGCGCCGGCCCCACCCCTCCGCGTAGTTGCCTTTGCGCAGCAAGCGGTGCACTCGCCCTACCGGGAACTGGAGAGCAGCGCGGGACGAGCGCGACTTGGCCTTGGCGCGGCCTTGCCTCCTTGCTTGCCACGACCAGACATGACAGCGATAGTAGTCACCGAGTGAAACTCCTGCCTGGCGACCGGAAAAGTCACCGAAAACGGCGCCGCTTCACCCTTTTATAAGACAGAACGGGCGATTGTCCACGGAGCCTTTTGATTGGCTCAAGCAAATTTTGTCCCGATAGGCAATAGGATAGCTCAGCCAGATCCACTCATTTACATAATCTCGTCTCCCTCGCATTGGGCGCGCGAAACTCGCGAACCACAACGCAGCGTCATGCGCACGGCCTCTCTAGGTGCACAGTCGTTTCCGGTAGACCCCGAGACGCAGGTTCTTGCCTGCGTTCTCGGGCGGTGAGAGTCGGTCTTGGGTCTGGCCGTGCCTGACACTGCAAAGTCCGCGCCGGCTCCCAGAGAGGGCGCCAAGAAAGCGTCACCAAAGCCAGAAGAAAGACGGCGAGAAGCGCAAGCGCAGCCGCAAGGAGGAGCTACTCCATCTGCATGTACAAGGTGCTGAAGCAGTCCACCCGACACCGGCATCTCGTCCGAGCCATGGGCATCATGAACTCCTTCGCCACGACATCTTCGAGCGCATCGCGGGAGAGGCGTCTCGCCTGGCGCACTACAACAAGCGCTCCACCATCACGTCCCGCGAGAGCCAGACGGCCCTGCGCCTGCTGAGGGAATAAATAGTTCAACTTTTATATATGGTATCGAGAAATTTCGTGAGGTTTTTATATCGTTGGTTCACAAACACGTGCCTACACCGTTCATGTGAAAATTTCTTAAGCAGGTAGATGGAAGTTTGGTTTTGATAACCAGGAATTCACACCGTTAACACCATCTGTGCTTCCTACCTGAGATACCCTGAAATCTACCCAATACCATTAAATAGTGACTTTTTCCCTAAGAATTATCACTTGGAAAAGCTTGTCCAGTTTAATGATTAGTTCCATACAATGGCAACAAAATATATATGATTTCTGAAGCCAGAGTTTGGGATGCCTGAAGAACAGAAGGACCACCAATTTGCCAGAGAAGTTGATTAGGTTCTCTGCTTTTGGAACACTGGATTTGGAATCACACAGCCTCATTAACCTTAAAAGATTATACTGATGGCTTTGGGGAATCATAAATCCTAGGCTGGCCACAATAGAAGCAAGGAAAGCAATTAGGAGGCTGTTGCAGTTTTGTGGTCTGGAGCAGTGATTAAGTCTTAAAGTCTTTCCAGACCAGCAGCATCTGCATTAGTTGAAGTTATTAAAAATGGAAATTCCCAGGTTCCATTATTTGTGTTAACAAGCTTTCTGGGTGATGCTGATGCATGCTAAAGTGTGAAAAACACCAGATAAATAACATGTTGGAGTGCAGTGGTGGTAATGGAAACAGAAATGTTGGATTTTATCTTTGACGTAGAATAGATGTGGCTGAGGAACAGGATTTAGGTAACAGTGAAACCCCTAGATTTTTGGCTTGAGCAACTGTGTAGATCGTGGTACTATTAGGATAGAACACTGGGAGAAGATACTCGTTGGGACACTGAAGGGAGATCCAGAGTTCCGCTTGAAATTTGAGAAGCTCTTTGCTATTCAAGTGGATATGTGCAGCTGACAGTTGGAGAGATGGATCTAGAGTTCAGTAAAGACAACACAAGCCTGTCTTTAAGATCTACCTGTGAACTGTGAACACAGCAATGGGAATGATGGAGATCACCTTAAAGTATTTTTCTAGACTTTATTACTCATGTGTTTGTCATGAGGTATAACTGAGTAGTTCATAGTCCTATAATGTATGTTACTGACTAGGTAGTATTTGTTTTTATAATTCTGTTTCTGTTACAGTGCTGCCACATGTGTTTCCCAGAAACTCATTTTGCCCACAGTTCTTAGGGTTGGCCTGATTTGTTTGTTGTCTCAACCTGCTTCTTACTGTGATTAGTTCAGGAATCTAGATCAAACTAATTGGCATTTAACATTTCAGGAAGTGAACTGAGTTAACAACTGACTAACTCAGCAGGGGAGTGTAGCATGCTATTATCTTTTGGGAAAGCAGCTTATTTGCTTTCAAGAGGCAGCAGCAGGATGGACTGTCTTTAGGTATGAAGGCAAGAATGATTATAGACAAAATGCAGAGGAGGGCACAGTGTGGGAGAATCAGAGAACTGAGCCACTCATGGAGTTCAGCCAACCTTGGATCCCTGCTGTACCTTTGGACTTCCAGTTAAGCCAATTTGTCTGACATATTTGTTTATACCAGTTTGAATCTTGAAATATTTCAGGAATAATAAATAATTTCCTAGATACAAGGAAAGCTCTTTCGTGAAAGGTCTCAAAGAAGTCAAATGGGGTCTATTAGGACAGAGTTGCTCCTATTACATATTTGGAACAAATGTCCAAATGTTGAAAATCAATACTTGACTAAGGCTAAAGACTAGTATTACCATCACAGGAAGAATGTCCAGGTTTTTTTTTTTTTTTTAGATGTGAAATGTTATTTAAAATTTTTAAATTAAATCAAAAAATTTTAGTAGTTGTATTAATTTCCTGGGGCTGTCAAAGTACCATAAATTGTATGGCGTAAAACAACAGAAACTTATTCTTTCATGGTTTTAGAGGCCAGAAGTTTGAAATCAAAGTGTTGGTAGGGCCATGCTCTCTCCAAACCCACTAGGGGAAGACTCTTGTCTTTCAGTGTCTGGTAGCCCCATTTGTTTTTTGGTTTGTGGCAGCATAACTGTAATCTCTACCTCAGTCTTTTCATGTATGTCTCCATGTTTTCTTTCTTTCTTTTTTTAGATGGAGTTTCTCTCTTGTTGCCCAGGCTGGAGTGCAATGGCATGATCTTGGCTCACTGCAACCTCTGCCCCCCGGGGTTCAAGCAATTTCCCTGCCTCAGCCTCCTGAGTAGCTGGGATTACATGCGTGCATCAGCATGCCTGGCTAATTTGGTATTTTTGGTAGAGATGGAGTTTCATCATGTTGGTCAGGCTGGCCTCGAACTCCTGACCTCAGGTGATCCACCTGCCTTGGCCTCCCAAAGTGCTGAGATTACAGATGTGAGCCACCGCACCCAGCCATCTCCATGTCTTCTTATAAGGGTATCAGTCATACTGGATTAGGGCCCACCCTAACGACCTCATTTTAACTTGGTTACATCTGCAAAGACCCTATTTCCAAAGAAGGCAAAATTCTAAGGAACTAGGGGTTAGACTTCAACATATCTTTCGGGGGGACACAACTCAACCCATAACATTAGTCAATGGCTGTGGCAGGCTAAATGTGGCTCCCAAATATGTCCATATCCTAATCCCTAGAGCCTGAGTATTACCTTATATAGCCAAGGAGATTTTGCAGATGTAATTCTGAGATTGAGAGATTATGCCGGATTATCCAGGTAGGCCCCAAATGTAATCACCACAGTCCGTATAGGAGAGGCAAGATAGTCAAGTGTAGAAGCAGAGAGAGATTTGAAGATTAACAGGCTGCTTGCTTTGAAGACAGAAGGGACCACAAACCAGAAATAAACCTCTAGAAGCTGGCAAAGGCATGGAAATAGACCCTCCCCCTTAAGGCCTCTGGAGGGAGTGCAGCCTTGATTTCTACTGAGTAAAATTGATTTTGTACTTCAGACCCCCAAAACTGTAAGAGAATAAATGACTGTTGTTTTAAAACCATTGAGTTTGTAGTAATTTGTTGCAGCAGCCACAGGAAACTAATACAACAGCTATACAGAGTTTTTTTCAATAATTGGAGAAATCTGAATATGGATTGCATATTAATACTGAATCAGCATTAAATTTGTTAGGTATAATAATGTTATTGTAGCTATTTAGGAGAATATCCTATTTTTAAGAGACATGCCACCGTATTTACGGAGAAGTGCCAACATATTTGCAGTTTATTTTCAGATGGGTCAGGGGCTGTGTGTACCTGAGAAGACAAAGATAAGGCAAATGCAGCGAAATCATAATAATTGGTGAATCCAGGTGAAGGGACTATGGTTGCTCTTTGTACTTTTTTTTCCAACTTTTCTGTAGGTTTAAAATTTTCAAAATAAAAAAATGGGAAATACTTTAAAAACTAATCAAAGACAGTACAGAAACTCATACATTAATGTATTTTATTTTTACAATAAAATTAATGTAAATTGATATTTTACTAATTTCACCCCAAGTTATATTAAAAGCTTTATTATATACGTTTGATAATAGCATATGTAAACTAGAACTCTGAATGATATCCATTGGTCATAATACATACTGTGTAGTGGGTAATGGTGACTTTTGTGATTGCACAAGACCAGAGATGCCCCAAATGACATTGACATAGACATCTCGTTATTCTAAGGCTGAAACTGAAGTTGAATAGAGGGTTTCAGTCAAATACTGAGATGAAAGCTGAGGCAGTCCTGGGGGCAAGGGGGAAGTGTGTGTGTGTGTGTGTGTGTATACACACAGACGACATGATTTCTAAATATTTACAGAAAGGGTAGATTATCTACAAAAGAACAAGAATCAGACTGATATGAGATCTTACAAACCTAATCCCCTTCTTTCCTAAACTCCAGATTCTCATATTTCTGACTTCCTGTGATATTTATACTTCGATACTTACCAGGAGTCTTCAACATTTTGTTCAACAGTATTCTTGGTTTCCTTCCTCCAAGACTACTCCTCCCTCCTATCAGCAAACAGTAGCTCTTTTCAAGTGCTCAGTGTAAAAACCTACAATTAATCCTTGGTTTCTCTTTTAGTCAGCCTATACTAAATCAATTTCATTTAAAGTATCTCCGCAACTAACCTGCATCTCCACATCTCCATTGCTACCACCAGCCTCTCCAGTCAAATTCTCCAAGAGTACTCTATCTCATTTAAAAGACAAAATCTCTGCAATGGCCTGTGAAGCTCCTTAATGGCCTACATGATCTGGCCTTCAAGCACCTCTCTGATCTCTGCAAAACTTTCCCTTGGTCAGTGTGCTTCAGCCACATTCACCAAGCTTGTTCCTGCCTTGGGGCCTTTGTACTTACCATGTTGTTCTGAGAATACTCTGCCTTAAGATATTCTATAACTATCTTACTGTATACAGCTCTGCTCAAGTATTAACTGATCAAACCTGTCATCCCTATTCCACTCCATGTTCTGCTTTACTTAACAAAATTGCACATATGGCCCCCTGAATAATATAAATTTATTTGTTCACTTATTTTTACTTATCCACTAATTAAAGTGTAGACTTTTTCTCTTCTGTTTACTGCTGTATTCCCAGCATGTTTTATCCGAATGTGCAGTGGTTTTTCTTCTCCCTTACTGTAGGAAGTCGTGTGCACAAATACACATAATGGAACCTGAATGTCATATTGCTTTCATACCTGTGTGAATTTTGGTAAGAAAGGAAAAGTAGCGATTGACAAGTAATATAATTACATTGAGTCACTCTCATAGTTAGCTGTTTATTGCTTTCCTGCTCTTATTCTCAGTCCCCAGGACCAAATGTTGACCACTCCCTCCCCCACATATAACTGGTTATTTACTCGACGCCATGAAGGTGCCTGTTAAATTGAAGTCACATACCTGCCTTACTAACTCAACCTTTCCCTACTGTCTTTCTGAACCCCACCTCCATGCTTTAAATTAACTTTGCAGGCTTAGGCTTCATCTCTCAGTAGAGCCATGTAAGGTATGTGTAAAAGGAAGAAAATGTTTTCTGGGGATGAAGCTTTGAAAAGCTTGCTTTTTTTTTTCTTTTGGCAATAAAATAAGGTACATTTAGCACAACACCTAATAACTAAAAAATCTGTTTTTATTTGGGTGGAGTACACAGCAAGTGTGTCATCCTGGAAGATACTATTTGGAATTTTAGGTAGGTACATAAAGAGAAGAAAGTGAAAAGGGGCTACTAGGACACTGCAGTATGCTTAATGTGTATTTTCTAGTAAGTTTGTATTATGCCTTTATCTTGGTACTTTTATCTTCTGTTCTCACTTGATCTTTTTGAAATGTATTTTCAATCCTAATAAAAATATATAAAGTCCTGATTTAATAAAGGATTAAATGAAACTTTTCTATATCGCACTGCAATTCTCGGAAAAAGGGGGGGTGTGGGGAGGGGGAATTATCTGGCATAGTGACTGAAAATTGTGAACACGTTCTTACCAAGGAATATGGCAACTGCATAACCAAATGTCAGTGGTTACCAAACTTACGAATCACCTGGTGTTGTGTCATAGATTGCTTGTCTCTCGCCCCCAGTGATTTGGATCAGTGGAAATATATGGGGTTTAAAGAATATAAAATATATTTATGTATATATTTGTGTGTGTCGCAAAAGCTTCAGGGTATATATATTTGCATGTGTCTCAAAAGCTTCAGGGTAAAATAAGTTTTAACTGTTTAGGAAACTATTGTTTAAGGTATCCAGTCTCAAAAATGAAGGCCTTAAAACTTAGACCTAATTTTTTCATTACATTTCTTGCGCAGAAAATGGTAAAATACCCAACGATAACAGTGGGGAATTGTCTACATATCAACACTTGACTAAAAAGCTTTACTATCCATGACAGCAGCCTTTCCATTACTCTATTCTGAGAGCATTTAACGTCTTGAAACCCAGGAATAAACACCTATAGATTCACAGTACCTGAAAGGAATACCAAATTGAGACAAAAGGACTATGTAAACGGAAAACTGCTTCAACCATAGAATGGAGGTCTACAGGTGCGGAAGGAAAGTTTACATGGTGTGGGTGAGACGTGGTCGCAAAAGTTTAGGAATATTCTCAGGTTACTACACAATTTAACGAGCTCAATATGCATTTAACATTTTTTCCTTCCACTCTCCTGAGCAGAGTTACACTGACCGCCCCGGTAGCAAACCGACTATGGAAAAGGCAAATTATGTGCACATTACCATGTTATTACCAGGTAGTTCTCGACCAAGCTACAGATTCTGGCTTTATCTTATATTCCTCTCCCATCAGCTGCAGAAAAAGGGATAGGTGCTGTAAAAAAATGCCTATGTAGAACTTACACTAAGAACTGTGAAAACAGCTTATTTCACTGAAGGGCTTAAGTAGCCCAGAAAAGAGACTTTGGATTCAAGCAGCCGGGACTCGCTTGGAGTCGGTGTACTTGGTGACAGCCTTGCAAGTGCCCTGGGACAAGGCGTGCTTGGGCCAGCACGCCGGGCAGCAGCAGGCGCAGGGCCGTCTGGCTCTCGCGGGACGTGATGGTGGAGCGCTTGTTGTAGTGCGCCAGGCGGGACGCCTCTCCCGCGATGCGCTCGAAGATGTCGTTGGCGAAGGAGTTCATGATGCCCATGGCCTCGGACGAGATGCCGGTGTCGGGGTGGACCTGCTTCAGCACCTTGTACATGCAGATGGAGTAGCTCTCCTTGCGGCTGCGCTTGCGCTTCTCGCCGTCTTTCTTCTGGGCTTTGGTGACGGCTTTCTTGGCGCCCTTCTTGGGAGCCGGCGCGGACTTTGCAGGTTCAGGCACGGCCAGACCCAAGACCGACTCTCACCCGCCGAGAACGCAGGCAGAACCTTGGTCTCGGGGTCTACCGGAAACGACTGTGCACCTAGAGAGGCCGTGCGCATGACGCTGCGTTGTGGTTCGCGAGTTTTTCGCGGCGCCCAATGCGAGGGAGACGAGATTATGTAAATGAGTGGATTCTGGCTGAGCTATCCTATTGGCTATCGGGACAAAATTTGCTTGAGCCAATCAAAGCGCTCCGTGGACAATCGCCGTTCTGTCTATAAAAGGGTGAAGCGGCGGCGTTTTCGGTGACTTTTCCGGTCGCCAGGCAGGAGTTTCACTCGGTGACTACTATCGCTGTCATGTCTGGTCGTGGCAAGCAAGGAGGCAAGGCCCGCGCCAAGGCCAAGTCGCGCTCGTCCCGCGCTGGCCTCCAGTTCCCGGTAGGGCGAGTGCACCGCTTGCTGCGCAAAGGCAACTACGCGGAGCGGGTGGGGGCCGGCGCGCCAGTCTACATGGCGGCGGTCCTCGAGTACCTGACCGCCGAGATCCTGGAGCTGGCGGGCAACGCGGCTCGGGACAACAAGAAGACGCGGATCATCCCTCGTCACCTCCAGCTGGCCATCCGCAACGACGAGGAACTGAACAAGCTGCTGGGCAAAGTCACCATCGCCCAGGGCGGCGTCCTGCCTAACATCCAGGCCGTGCTGCTCCCTAAGAAGACGGAGAGTCACCACAAGGCAAAGGGCAAGTGAGGCTGACGTCCGGCCCAAGTGGGCCCAGCCCGGCCCGCGTCTCGAAGGGGCACCTGTGAACTCAAAAGGCTCTTTTCAGAGCCACCCACGTTTTCAAATAAAAGAGTTGCTAATGCCGGCTTCTCTCAGTCCAGCGTTTCTCAGTAGTAAACGGCGAACCTGCAGCGGACGGGGACGGTGACGGCGACGGCAACGGGGAGGTTGTGTGCTGTGGTGTGTGCGCGCGCGCGGCGCGCGCCGTCTTGCATCTGGAGCACGTAACTGCCTGGGTCATCGATGAGTGGGTCCCCACTCCTAGGACTTCCCAGCGCAGGTGGAGGCACCAAATCCTGTGGTGCCGCCACGGTCCACTCCCACACGCTCACAAACACCAGCGCGCGGCGGCAGTACCCAAGGCGCTTAAAAGTGTTGCGCCCGGAGCGCGCGCGCTTCCCCAGTGTTTCCGCAGGCCATGGCCCGGGCACTTAGACCTAGCCTAGCACTAGCGGGACGTCTCCCTTGCCCCACCCCCATGGAGACCCTGAGCGTAGTGCTCCCAGTGTCGACTGTCTTGCCTCACGGAGCTGACTAATCTTAGTTTCTGTTTTTTTCCCCAAAGCGCCTGCGGCGGAGAGTAAGGGCTCTCTGGAGGCAATCTGGCGGGCGCACCTCTCCCAACCCAAAAAAGCTCGACCGACAGGCGAAAAACGATCCCAAGTAGCAACGAGGCCTGGGGCATTAATGGAAGAAATGCAGGTCCATGCCGGAGCCGCTTGGGCGCAACAAGAAAGGAACGCGAAGGGCGACAGGGAACAATCTGACAGAACTTGCCAACGGAAACGACTTTCACCCCTGAAGGAAAGGGGGTGAAAACAAGCTTTGCAAAACTTGGCAACCTGGAAAGTTAGAAAGTGATGCGGTGTGGCGGGATTTAGGGAGGACTCTGCCCAAGACCAAACCGGTGACTTTAGACGGCGGTGACTGTCACAGCCAATGATGGGACAGCCAGCGCTTGGATTTCAAAGTTTCAATTTCTGTGTTCCGTTGGCCCATCGGGAATAAGACTGTGCTTATAAAGACGGCTGTGCCGCCCACAGCTCGTTCTCTCCCGCCGCTCCGCTGGTAAGCTTTGTGTTTTGCACCGTTCGCTATGCCCGTACTAAGCCAGTTTGACTGCCCCGCAAGTCGACGGCGGCCAAGGGCCCCGAGAAGGAGTCTGGCCACAACGGCGGCGCCCCCGCAAGAGCGCGCCGCACAGGCGGGAAGAAGCCGCACCGCCTAGCGGCCCGGCACCGTGGCCCCTGCGGGAATCCGGGCGGCTACCAGCGAAGTCCACGAGGGCTGCTGAATCGCAAGCTGGCCCTTTCCAGCGGCTGGCTACGCGAGATCGCGCCAGGCACTTTAAGACGGACCTGCGGCTTCCAGAGTTTCCGCCGTGATGGCGCTGCAGGATGGCCAGCGAGGCCTACCTTGGTGGGGCTGTTCGAAGACACGAACCTGGCCCATCACGCCAAGGCGTTACCATCATTGCCAAGACATCCAGCGCCCGCCGCATCCGTGGGAGCGGCTTAAGAAGTGCGCGTCGGGCCGGGGTTCCATTCGTATCCAAAGGCTCTTTTCAGAGCCACCACATCAGCACTTGGAAGAAGTGTACCGCTTTGCCTGTCCGTGCTCCCCCTCCGATTAGAGCGGGGGAAAGGCCACTTCCGGTTAGGCTCCGCAACAAAACACGGGCGTCGGTTGAACCAGTCAGGTCCCCTGCTTGCGGTTGCCATCTTGAGCTCTGCCGACTTCGGCCAGTTGGCGTCATCCGGACTGGCCGGGCTGGCGACGCCTTCCTTTGGCCGCGGCTTGGGGGCTTTGACGGTCCGGCCTTCCTGACGCGTGACCGGGCCCTGCGTGCGGGGGAGGCAGGAGGAGGGACGGGCGTCGGTTCCCGAGGCCAGGGGTCACCAGGCGGAACGCTCAAGCTCCGTCCTGAGAGCGCCTGGGCCTTGCAGAAGTGCTGAGGGCACACGCCCGTGCTTCCGCGCCAAACCGGCCTCACCGGCGCGCCCTCGGCTAGCGAGGGAAATGACCACCTCGCCTCGCCGGGGTTTGCGGGCAAAGTGGGGAGAACTGCGGCTGGGGCTGGCGTCGGGCCCACGCATCTCCACAGCACAGTGGTAAACCCCCCATCCTGCCCCTAAGCCAAAATTCGCCGGTCACGGGGTGGGCGGAATTTTGGTGAATCTGGCTTAATCGGCTGTTCCCGTGTCCATGTCCCAGAGAGACTCCTCTATTCCAGTGAGGGACTCGGTCCTCTTGAAGCTGGCATGGTGGTCTGGATTTCTGTCCAGACTCAGTAGTTCGATTGGTTTTCAATGGACGAGGTGGGCAGACGGCTGGTCCCCGAAGTTCAGATCCTGTGGGCAAGACAGTAGATCAAACAAGGCAGGAAGTGGGCCCGTCCGTTGGGGAATGACGTTCCGTCACTTAGGAAATCGTGACAGGAGGGCTCTCAGAGGCGATCTCTAATAGTCTCTGGGGAGCTGGCAAGGTCCGAAGGCCTCTTAGGGGAAAGGTGAGGCAGGGTCTGCAGGGCCCATCTTACACAGGGCCAGGATACGAATGGCCGTAAGGGTTGAGGTAACACACTTCTCGGGTCATTGTAGTTTGCACCTCAAATGAAGCCCCAGGGGCTTGGTTTTCCTGTTTGTTTCTCACAGCTTGATAGGTTAAAAGCATTCACCGGGCCGAGATCTGGTGAGATATTAGAGGGGAGGAAGGGAAATGGAAAAAAACTTCGGTTTTGTAAAGCGTTCATTTGCTTTTCCTGAGGCGTGTTCAAGTGAGGAGAGCAGTGTGAGGATGAGCCTGCTGGGGACTGCCACATGTTTCTGTCAGTCACAGCAATTCTGAGTATGCCTCCAGTGTGCGAGAGACCCTCATAACTGCTTTAGGCCCACCAGTTGCATAGGGCGGTATTCTGGACTTCAAAAACTAGTGACCTTTCAAGAGGTGGGGGGCCACCCACCATCTCTGCCCCAGCTTCCTCAGTCCCAGTGTGAGAGCAGAGACTGGGAAACCCGCGGATTTGGTGTCAGGACATCTAGGTCCTCTGACTGCCCCCCAGCCCCGCACCCCAGATTCTACGCACTCTGTTCACTCACAGTCTGGGGACCTTAAATCCATGGCTCCCCCGGCTGAATCTCCAAAAGAAAATTTTCGTGCGCATTTTTTTTATATCCAGTCAGGAGTTAGAATTCATTACATCGTTGTGGTCCTGCACTGTGAGCCCCTGCACTCACAGGAATCTTTTCGTCTTCTTCGTAATTTGGTTTGAGAACCAGCATAGAGCTTGAATTCGTCAATTACAAGATACATTCTAAAGCTAAGTTTTACGTTCATGCATTCCTTACTTAAATCATGTTCTACCTGTTCGTTGACAGTTAAAAGATAATTAGGCCGGTGCGCGGTGTCAGGCCTGTAATCCCAGCACTTGGAGCTCACGGCGGATCACGAATGTCAGAGAGAAACCCAGTAACCCCTTTAATAAAAATACAAAAATTAGCCGGGCGCGTGGTGGGCGGCCTGTAGCTCCCAGCTACTCAGACTGAGCCAGAGAATGGCCTGACCCAGGAGCGCCGCAGCTGCGTGAGCCAGATGTCCCGCCACTCACCTCCACGCTGGGCAACCAGCTGAGACTCCCGTCTCAAAAAAAAAAAAAAAAAAAAAAAAAGGATAATTAAGGATACGGTAAAGAAATACTCTTCCTCTGGCTGGGCACTGTGGCTCACAGCTGTTAATCCCAGCACTTTGGGAGGCGGAGGCGGGCGGATTGCTTGAAGTCAAAGTTCCAGACCAGCTTGGGAAACATAGCAAGACCCTGTCTCTACAACAACAACAGAAAAAAGAAAAAGAAAAAAGAAATACCTAGCCGGGAGTGGTGCCATTTGCCTGTGGTCCCAGCTACTAGGGTGGCTGAGGTGGGAGAATCACTTATGCCCGGGAGGCAGAGACTGCTGTGAGCTGAGATTGTGCCACTGCACTCCAGTGTGGGTGACAAGATAGTGAGACCCTGTCTCAAACCCACCTCTTCCTCTAATAACTAGCTTCTACGTGGCTACCTTGGTTGCCAGTGAGCCCTCTCTGAATCTGTGGCTTTTATGAAGTGAAAAACGTGCTTTGTTCACATTTAATTCTGCCTTAGGCAGGCTAGTGGGGGACAGGTGTGTGTGTGTGTGTGTTTGGAGGGGAACTACATGGTAAGAGACATGGCCATGTTTCCACTGCTTTTTCTTCCTCAGAAGAGGACTTGTCCACTCTCCTGGTCACCCTTATCCTTCTCTAGGTCCGCATCTCAGTCTTCTCATGTCTTGCTCTTCCCCGTCAATATTCCTGGTTTCCCCCGTGCTGGCCTTGGCCATCTTCTTTTCTCCGTGCAACTCAAGTGAGATTGACTCCCTGCTTTCCATATTTCTGTCCCTTAGCTAAGTGCTCCCAAATTGGTATCTTCTGCTGAGACCCTATCCTGAGCGCTACACATTGTGTTTGTGTGTGTGTGTGTGTGTGTGTGTGTGTGTGTGAGAAACAGGGTCTCACTCGTCTAGGCTGGAGTGCAGTAGCACAATCAAAGATCACTGCAACCTTGGACTCCTGGGTTCAGGGGTCCTCCCACCTCAGCCATCTGAGTAACTGGGACTACAGGCACACACCACCAGGCCCGGCTAATTTTTTTTATTTTTTGTAGAGTCAGGGTCTCACTGCATTGCCCAGGCTGGTCTCGAAATCCTGGGCTCAAGCCATCCTCCCACCTTGGACTCCCAAAGTGCTGGGATTATAGACGTGGGCCACTGTGCCTGGCTACACCAATGTTTCTAACTGCCTGGTAGATAGGTCCTTCTGGATGTATACTAGGCACTTCAAACCCAGCTTATTTCCAAAACCACATGCATCATCTTGCTTTCCAAACCGATTTGTTTCTTTCCACATTCCCCATCTTCCTGGAAGACACCTTCATTACCCCCATCTGTTCTGAGTCAGGTGTCCCTTCCTCTTGCCCTCTGTGCAAATCTCATGAGTTCCAAATGTTACTAAATCTACCTTCTGACTTTCAATTGTATCACCTTTTCTCCGTCCACCCATGACCATGCCTTAACTGAAGCTCTCGCCAGCTCTGGTCTAGTAGATTACATAGTCAGGATAGTCTTTCTGCCCTGCCACACTGAGCTTCCGTTCTGTACGAGAGATATCCTTTTCTTTCTTTTTTTTTTGAGACGGAGTCCCGCTCTGTCGCCCTGGCTGGAGTGCAGAGGCACGATCTCGGCTCACTCCAACCACCGTCTCCCGGGTTCATGCGATTCTCCTGCCTCGGCCTCTGGAGTAGCTGGGACTACAGGTGCATGTCACCACGCCCAGCTAATTTTTATATTTTTAGTAGAGACGGGGTTTCACCATGTTGGCCAGGATGGTCTCAATCTCTTGACCTCGTCATCTGCCTGCCTTGGCCTCCCAAAGTGCTGGGATTACAGGCATGAGCCACAGTGCCCGGCTCCCTTGCTCTTCTTTGCCCTCATCTCTTTGGGCCCTCCTCCTTGCCTCTGCCCTCTCCTATCTTAATACCCCTTCCCTTCCTTAACCTCTCAGCATTAGGCTGGCAACATTTCTCAGGGTGAGGATTTGTCTTTGTTTATTTCCGTAGTAGCAGTACCCAAGCAATGCCTGGTCACCATAAGTAGAGTTAAATCGTCTCTCAAAAAAACAAAACAAAAAACGAACTACATTGAGTGGGAAAGGCAATACATATATCAACTTTGGTTTCGGTATCACTTCATGGCGTCATTCTTCTTTCACGTATAACTTTTCATTTGATCCTTAAAATAATCCTGTGAAAAAGGCAGGAATTCTCAGTAATTGGCCGGGCATGGTGGCTCACACCTGTAATCCCAGCACTTTGGGAGGCTGAGATGGGTGCATCCCCTGAGGTCAGGAGTTCAAGACCAGCCTGGCCAACACGGTGAAACCCGGTCTCTACTAAAAATACACAAATTAGCTGGACATCAAACTAAAGCAAATTTTAACATTTGGGTGAACATCTGGGCAACATATATTCAGGTTTTAAATATTTTTGCATTAAAACAAAAACTGTTTAAAAAAAAGGAAAAGAGGACAGGCGCGGTGGCTCACTCCTGTAATCCCAGCATTTTGGGAGGCCGAGGAGGGCGGGTCACCTAAAGTCAGGAGTTCGAGACCAGCCTGGCCAACATGGCAAAACCTCCATCTCTACTGAAAATACAAAAATTAGCCCGGCGTGGTGGTGGGCACCTGTGGTCCCAGCTACTCGGGAGGCTGAGGCAGGAGAATCACTTGAACCCGGGAGGTAGAGGTTGCGGTCAGCCAAGATCGTGCCACTGCATTCCAGCCTGCATGACAGATCAAGACTCCATCTCATAAAAAGAAAGAGGAAGGAAGGAAGGAAGGAAGGGAAAGGAAGGAAGAAGGAAGGAAAGAAAAAGAAAGAAAAGAAAAAGAAAGAGAGAAAGAAAGAGAAAGAAAGAAAAAAAAGAAGAAAGAAAGAAAGAGAAAGAGAGAGAGAAAGAAAGAACTGCTGTTACCTAAGTCAGTGGCTTTCAACCTTTAATGTGTATCAGAATCACCGGGAGGGCTTTTTTAAAGTACAGGTTACTATGTCTCACCCCTCAGTTTCTCATTCAATAGGTCTGGGGTGGGGCCCAAGACTTTATCCCAGGTGATCAGTGCTGCTAGATGAGAGGCTACATTTTGAGAACAACTGATTCAGACAATGGACGTGTTTTCTCCCCCACTCCCTTTCTTTCTTTATCTTCAAATTTTTGATATCTCCTTCTTTAGTGGATCTTGGTGAGGATCAGATAGATTCATCAGCATTGCCTTTAAAATTAAAAAAAAATCAGTGATACTTGAAATAGCAATGCTGAAAATCACAGGTCAGATTTAAAAGGGAAAAGGAAACATCTTGAGCATTACAACCTCTATTTCTTACCTGGACATCTTCACAAATGTTATTCTTGCCACTTCCTCCCTGCCCTCACCCCTTTTACTCTGTATCTCAGTAGGATGCCAATCATTCTGCCCTTTATTCAGAGTCCGACACAAGCCCCAACGTCCATAGCCAAGTTTTCCTTGGTTTCCCAGCAGCCAGTGACTCCTGTAGCATTAGGATTCCTATAGTAGTTATTGTCTGCATTTCTCAGCATATTGAATATGTACTGCCTCTTACTGTTGGACTGTTTATTCTTAAATGTGTACAGGTATGGATTTATGTCGTCTATATATTATGCATTTATTGTCTTCTCCGTTCTGATGGTAAGCTCCTGGAGGGCAAGTCTTGCATCCACCACTTTGCTGGCAGCCCCATTGGTAAGCTCCTGGAAGGCAAGTCTCGCACCAGTGCTTTGCCGGCAACCTGATTGCTAAGTACCGTGTTTTAAGCTTAGTTCAGTCTCAAGTGTTTGATGCTGGTGAGAGCAGCCACATCTGAAAACCAATAAAGCAACTGCTGGTTTATCCTTTGGGAGCTGACAGAATTTCTTCTTCCAAATACATACACAGTAAAATCATAAGCCTAGAATGTTTAAAAAAAAAAAAAAAAAAAAACTTATGGCATATGCAATGGCTGCAAAACTGTAAGGATTAGAAATGTGAACCCACATTTTAATCCAAATGAGGGCAATTTAGAGGTGGTAGTGTAAAGAATAGCTTGCTTTAACATATGCCATGCTGATATAGAATTGGCTTTTGCCTTGTCAAAATTAAATTGTGCTTTCTGTATTGATGGTGGGCACGTTTCTGCAGGTCTCTCATTCTAAGCTACAACAGGCCCTAAGAAGTAGAAGTCACATACCTGAATTAGTTGTGGAGCTGCTTTCAGATCATATCGTTGGTTCACTCTTATAGAAGGATCACATTAAAATGTCTCTGCATTTGTATCCTTGCAATGCCACAGCTGAAAGACAGTTATCTCATAGGTCCTTGATTAAATTAGGAGCCTTTTTAGTGAACACAAGAAATGATACTTTTCAGGCACTGGGCAGGATAGCTTGCTAGAAATTCATTTTTTTTAACTGTACTAAGATTGAGCTGAGTGCGTGGCTGAAGATACCACATAACATGGACCCTTACTAAGGGATCTAGTCCACCCGCTTGTTATGTAGAGGGTAAAATGAAGCCCAGAACAGTCAATCGCGAAATCTAAGCCGATCAGGTGGGAAAGCCGGCATCTATAGAATGAAGATCTAAGGCTGCTTCTCCCACTTTGCCTGAGCAAATATAGGGAGATTACATAGCAAGGCACGTGTAAATTGCCAGTGCCTGTTTCTCAGAACCAGATCTGGTGATCGCAAAGACGTGCCCCTCTAGGTGTGCCTATATGCTGCTCCAGAAGAGCAAGCCGAGAAAGTAGTGCTCAAACCTAGAGCACATTCAACCTTTCATATCGATAAAGGCAAAAAAAAAAAAAAAAAAAAAAAAGCCCAAGTAAGTGAAAAAGCCGCTTTCGGTCAACGACTTAAGCTTTACGGCTGTGAGCGCCATGGCCACAGTAGCTTCCGTTAACTTCAGATCCGACCGTCGCCCCACTGCCAAAGTTACCTTCCAACATCGTTACTGTTGCATTTATGCAGTCAAGTGTCCAGCTCCTCAGATGAGCGAGTGGTCGGCCCTAAAAAGGGCCTTGGGATCGAAACGTGCAAAGCTGGAGCGGCGGCCTAGCCTCCGAAGCCGTACAGTGTGCGCCCCTGGCGCTTGAGCGCGTACACCACATCCATGGCTGTGACGGTCTTGCGCTTGGCGTGCTCGGTGTAGGTGACTGCGTCCCGAATCACGTTCTCCAGGAACACCTTCCAGCACACCGCGGGTCTCCTCGTAAATGAGGCAGAGATCCGCTTAACGCCGCCACGCCGAGCTAGACGCCGAATGGCAGGCTTGGTGATGCCCTGAATGTTGTCTCTCAGGACCTTGCGGTGGCGCTTAGCGCCCTTTGCCTAAGCCTTTTCCCCCTTTCCCTGCCAGACATGACTGCTACAGCCTGAAAGACAGCTTCTGTCAGGGCAAGCACGGTCGCCCCTGATATACAAGAGTATCGGACCAGATTGAAACCGAAAGCGCCGCGGCGGGAAGCTTTCTCAATTGTCCCCGCCCTCTCGACATTTCGTCATTCTTTTTCTGTTTTCCTCTCCCTCCCTCCTCACTCTGCTCAGGTCCCTCCCCACCTCTTCCCCCCGGCGCCCCCGCTACGCCATAGTCCCCGGGAGAATTCACATCCCAACCCAGGGCTTCCGGATTCTGCGGTGGCTTTGGCCTGTGTCTGGTCTGAGGAGCCCGAAAGGCACTGCACTGAGGCTAAGGGAAAGTTCTTCTGGAGGGAGCCTCAGGTAGAGCAAATGGAGGCCAGAGGCGGGCAGGAGCGCGCCAGCGCAGGATTTAATCCCGACGAGCGGATTCAGAGCCGTCCTTATATAAAGCCTCAGGAAGCGCCGTTCCGACGATGAGGCCAGCACGCGAGAGGCGACCTCAAGAGCGGCGGCGCCAGGGATCTGTGCGCCAAGGGAGGACGGGAGGGAGCAGGTTCGCCATAATTCCTGACTCTAGGCTCTGTTTTGTTGGACCGAGCCACTCTATTTTAGCTCACGCAGGAGAATTCTGGCCCTGGGAAAATTGATCTCAGCATGCTGCCAAGCTTTCTCATGGAGGTCAGCGAATCCCAACACACTGTCGGTCAAAGCAGTGCTGGAAGAAACAAAACAGTTCTCCCTCGGTAGAACTGAGGGGGATTGGTCCAGGGCTCCCGCCGATACCAAAATCCTGGTTGCTCAAGTCTCTCATAGAAAATGGCGTAGTATTTGCACATAACTATGCACATCCTCCCGTGTACTTTAAATGGTCTCTAAATTACTTTGTAACACCTAATCCAATGTAAATGCTATGTAAGTAATTGTTATACTGTTTTTATTTTTACTAGCTTATGTTGTATTTTTTTTTAAAATTCATTTGTTTGATATTTCGATCTTGGGGAACCCGCGTATATGGAGGGCCTGCTACACAGAGAAAACTGAGGGATATTCTGTGCATCCGTTTCTACGGATCCTCTAAATCGGCCTTTGTTTTCAGCCAGGATTTAGTGCCCAACTATGTCCTCTGGAGGCCCCACATGGAGCTAGCAAAGTTTGCCGAATCGGGTTTTGCAAGAGGACTATCTGCTCCATACTGAGAGTAATTACCACAAACTGCCCTATGAAATTGGTTGGGGTTCTTACTGTTAGCATGTTTATTACTTTATCAGGGCTCTCTGTAGGAGAGTCTGTGAGAAAATGTTCTAGTTTCTGCTGAAAGAATCGTGTTTTGTTGGGGTTTTTTCCCCCGAAAAATATTATTCTTAAAAACTCTTCTGTGCCCTGTTTAATCTCTCCCTTGGATCCACCTCCTATGTGCTCATAAATCGTAAATCTGTATTCAGACTTCTAGACTCGAAACACGTAGATCCACCTCGTGGTTCTTCAGTCATTTTAAGCTCAAAACTCAAAATCTCCCGAAATCAAAATGTTGACATTTATAATCTCCAGGGTGTGACTCACGGGGGATGAGGGGAGCACTTCTCTCCCTCCCCGCATAAAGCTGGTTCTCCTGTCTGCTCATTGAACGGCTCCACTACCCATCACAGCATCTACATGCCTAAACCAACACCCCAGCATTGGCATCAGATATCTTCCTCTCCCTTGGCTGCTTCAGGACAGAGAAGAAACATGCTTGCCCTTTTCTGACTCTTTAGTAACTCTCGCCGAATCTATCACATTATTTTATGTCTCTTTACATCTTAGTACTCCCCCATCTTGGCTGTGTGTTCCTTACTGGCAGTGATTTTTGTTTATTCATTTTTGTAAACTGACACTTAGTTCAGTGTCCAATATAAGCTCAATAATAGTTAATAAAAGGAAAAGTTCCTGCATCTGATTGCTTTTAAACACTGTTAGAAAAGACATAACCAAATTGCAGCTTGATAAAACCACCACAAAACAAGGCTGAGAGAAGTGGTGATTTCTGGTGTCAGCGGGCACAGGACCCTGGGCAGAATCCGAGATACGGGGTCTATTCAGTTCCCTTTTTAAGGGGATCAGGACATGCTACCTCCAAATGTGCCAGTTTCGACTTAAGAATTATTTTCAGCTGAAATAAACAGCTAAAATCTCTCACCTGTTTAATAGCAGATCCTCCTCGCAAATCTCAAATTTTTAACTCAGTTGTCATAAATCTTCTTCAGGACTAGAAGCAAATCTAATCTCAGAGATGAGAAGTAGTCATCACACCCAAATAGACATTGTCACAAGACTCGAATCTTCCATCTATTCTAAGGGACCATTTATCTTTTCAAAAGTCATTTGGTTTTCCATATGTCCTTTATTCCTCCTCCTTTTCCCCTGCTGTTAGGTAGATCCCAAATTCTAACCACCCCTCTGAGTTACTCATCTCAGAGTGCTCCTATGTATACACTTTTTTTTTTTTTTTTGATTCAGAGTCTTACTCTGTCACCCAGGCTGCAGTGCAGTGGTACAATCTCGGTTTAAACACCCAAGTCTGTGCTGTTTTGTTATAGTCCCTCTAGAAACTAATACAGGGTTCATGGTCTGCCAAAATCCCATTCCCTGCTCAGACCGACAATGGATGGTGGGATCCTTTGTGATACGTACCCTGTGAGTTAGAAGTAGCAACTAGAGCTGTTGAGGACAATACCTTTGCACCCGGTACCTCATCCACTGAATTTTATTTTCAAAGATATAGTCTGAAACCCTCAGAGGGTGAGTGCCTTTCCAGTGTGTCAGAGCCATTAGCAGCTGGGCAGACCGCTGAGCATGTAGATTTCTAGGTCAAGGCCCTCTCCCCAAAGAATCATACTCCCTGGTTGAACTGAACCTAAATCAGGTTTTGAACTAGACAGATGCCAACCAACTTAAAATTCGAAAGACACCCAAGACCTGTCCATGGCCCTGGGATTTGAGGACAACCTGTGCATGTCATGGCTATGCCAGTTCAGGGGTCTCTGGCTTAGTGGGAATGTCTACGTCCTAACTTCACCCTTCTCACTCTTCCACCCCCATCTGCCCCTCCTATGACAATGGAGTGCTCATTCCCCAAATTCAGCACCGTGAAAGAGAGAAAGGAACACTGGATAGTCTAAGACCTGGTCTTGGCTTGTGTGAGACAGTGGAGGCCTCACTACTTGGTCTTTTCTGGTTTACTGTCAAAAGGTTGAAGCTGGGGCCTTGACTGCCTCCTGTTCTCTGTTCCAGGGATGCTATACAATAGAAGTTTTGGGTCTTGACCATCGAAAGGTCCCATGAATTCTCCACTCAGCTCAGCTCAGCCCCCTGCTCTCACGTTGGGTGAGGAAATGATAGGCAGTGCGAACGGGCATATGCACACTCACTGAGGAAGTGCAGCCTGTCTGACCCAATCTCTCTCACCCAGCCTAGGCAGGACACTGTTTCCTTAACTATCAGCAGCTATCTTGGGGATTTCCCCACAGGGCCAGGGCAACAGAATCGGGTTCTCACTGTGACCATGGTCTGGAAGGACCATGAGGAATTCCCCAGTGCTGTCAGGGTTTCCCATACTGTCACAGACAGTTTAGTAACAGCTTTGACACCTTTTGGTAATAGGACAAAGTTAACACTCCTGCCACTATCCTGTGAAGGCCAAACTTCCTAGGCCCCATAGGAAACTTTTGGAATGTCTTCTTTGGGTTGAGAAACTGGGGCAAAGTAGAACCCAATTTTTTCACGTCAATATCAAAATGTAATCATTTCAGGTGCACAGAGTTCCGCACTTTCAGATTGGTCTTAAAGAAAAGAAAATCGGCCGGGCGCCGTGGCTCAAGCCTGTAACCCAGCACTTTGGGAGGCCGAGACAGGCAGATCACGAGGTCAGGAAGATCGAGACCTTCCTGGCTAACATGGTGAAACCCGTCTCTACTAAAAAATACAAAAAAACTAGCCGGGCGAGGTATTGGGCACCTGTAGTCCCAGCTACTCGGGAGGCTGAGGCAGGAGAATGGCGTAACTCGGGTGGCGGAACTTGCAGTGAGCCAAGATCCGGCCACTGCACTCCAACCTGGGGCGACAGAGCGAGACTCCGTCTCAAAAAAAAAAAAAAAAAAAGAAAAAAGAAAAGAAAATTGCCGCCGCGGTGGCTCACGCACTTTGGGAAGCCGAGGTGGGCAGATCACCTGAGATCAGGAGTTCGGACCACCCTGACCAATGGGTGAAACCCCATCTCTACTAAAAATACAAAACAAACAAACAAACAAAAAGTTAGCCGGACTTGTTGCGGCGCCCCTGTAATCCCACCTACTCAGGAGGATAAGGCACGAGAATCGCTTGGACCCGGGAGGCGGACGTTGCAGTGAGCTGAGATCGCACTACTGCACTCCAAACTGGGTGCCAAAAGCGATACTCCCATCTCAAAACACAAAGAAGAAAAGAAAGAAAAGAAAGAAAGAAAGAGAAGAAAATCAAGTAAAGAGCAATTCACATTCTCTTGAAAATTCTCATTACATCCAGCCTGGTTCCAGGGAAGCCCTGCCGTGAAACTGGTATTGTTACTTAGACTTAGGGTCCTTTGATCAGAGTTGATGATGTCCTCAGCTAAGTCAGTGCTAGGAGTGGACAGAGATGAAGTGATAGATGTGACGGAATTGTAGAATGTAGATTTAATAAGATTTGGTATTTTAGGGCAGGGCGTGATGGCTCATGCCTGTAATCCCAGCACTTTGTGAGGCCAAGGTGGGCCGATCACATGAGGTCAGGAGTTCAAGACCAGCCTGGCCAACACGGTGAAACCTCCTCTCTACTGAAAATACAAAAGTTGGCCAGGCACGGTGGCTCATGCCTGTAATCCCAGCACTTTGGGAGGCTGAGGCGGGGGGATAATGAGGTCAGGAGATGGAGACCATCCTGGCTAACACGGTGAAACCCCGTCTCTACTACAGATACAAAAAATAGAACGGGGTGGGTGGCAGGTGGCCTGTGTCCCCCAGCTAGTCAGAGCTGAGCAGGAGAAATGGCGTGAGCCCCGGAGGCAGAGCCTGCCAGCCGAGCCCAGATGGCAGCGCATGCACCCCCAGCCTAGGTGACAAAGCAAGGCCCCGTCTCAAAAAAAAAAAAAAAAAAAAAAAAATCAGCCGGG